CAAGATTAGTGTCAACAGTAGCCTCCAGGTTGTCACCTTTGCCAAGAAAGCAATCAACTTATTGAGGTCATGACATCTTTCTACGTATTTACCTTTCTGGTGACCTACAAGGCCTGGGTGATTTGTGCCCACTGCCACCTTCCTTTTACCACTGTCCCTTAGCTGCCTGCAGCCACATGGGCCTCTGGCTGACTATTGAAATAAGCCTGATTCCTCTGAGCAAGGACTTTGGCCCTTGCAGATTCCTGTCCCAGGGCTCTGTTCCCGGGCTGGCCTCATGCTTTACCCTTGCTCTCTTTTCTCCAATGTCCTCTTGAGACCTTCCCCGATGACATCATCTGAAACTCATGTCCACCTCTCCCTGCTCCTTCCCCCTGCCCACTTCCATTTTTCTCTAGAGTACTCACGTCCACCCATAGTTCTATAGCAATGTGTCCACAGAACCCTTCTAGAGGCTCATTACATGCTGGGCCTGTTCTAAGAGCCTTGCACGTGCTACCTCCTTTAACCCACAGCCCTTTGAGGCTTGGGCCAAAAGACAGAAAATGAAAGCTGGGGCTCCGACTGACCTCATTTCACAGATGAGGAAACTGAGGCATTGGGGAATTACAAAATGACTCAACGTTGTAAAATGACTGAACAGTGGAGCCAGGACTCGAGCGTCAGGCAGTCTGGCTGGAGGGTCCCCAGTCTTACCAACCATGCTTTCATTACTTGACCTATTTATTCTGTTTATTTTGAGTCTCCTCCTCTATATTGTAAACTCTGTTAGGCTACGAGTTTGTAATTTTTTAATTGATATATCCCCAGTTCTCATCACAGCCTCTGATCCATAGTGGATATTAATGTATTGACATGTCTGTCTAATTAATTAGTCAGTTATCTCCATCATCCCCTTCAATAGCAGGTATATCCCCACATATCTAAGTGCCTCGCTGATATTTTTAACATGAGTAAATCCCTAGGGTGTGTTTCTCTGACCATATCGCCCTGCTGCCTGCTCTAAGAAAAACACATAAGCAAATAAAATGTGGTAAGTTTCTCTGTCTTTTGACCAAAGTCCCAAAGGCTAACAACAGTCAATGTCAAGGGCACCTCATTCCCAAACAAGGAACCTGGCTAGTGATGCAGGAGAAGGAAGAAGGTTGGGACTCCTTTCCAAATCGAGATGATCATGGAAAACTGATGGACAGAGGTTGGATTCTGCTCTGACAGCAAAGGCTGCCTCTCAGAGACTTGTGTCAGCCTCCACCTCTGTGGCCTGAACTACAGCCAGAAGCCACTCCTCAGCCCTTAGGTTGGAGGTCTGCAGCTATCTGAGCCTGTGGGCAAGGAAACTGGGTGAAC